TCATAGACATCAGAGACTGTCAGAGTCTGTCAGAGACCATCAGAGACTGTCAGAGACCATCAGAGACTGTCAGAGACCATCAGAGACTGTTAGAGACCATCAGAGACCATCAGAGACCATCAGGCCGGCTGCAGAGGATGAAGGTGACGATGTTGGTGCTGTTTGGACAGATGCAGTCAGAACCATTAACTGTTCCTCAGAAAGACAACCAGATATTCTGACATCACTTCAGACTGTAAAACACTGAAACAACCAACAGAAACATGTCTAAAATTCACTCTGAGTCACAGTTTGGGGTGGTAGTAGCTGAGAGTCCTCCCCAACGTGCAGTCTGAGTAACAGGTCTTACTGAATCTGCCAGCATCACTGCAGGACTTCTAGGCTTTCATCAAAGCATGTTTTGGTTCATAAATATAAATGTTAACTGGAGTCCAGTCCTGGACCTGGAGGACCCCTGTCCTGCAGGGTTTCTGTGCTCTTCAGCAGCTCTTCAGGTTCTGCAGAATAAAACCTTTATTAAAGCCTGTTCCTGTCCTCAGAGCAGCTCTGCGAGCAGCAGGACTCCTCGCCTTCCTTTGCTTCGCTCAGATAATCAGACGTGAGTCTGAAACCAGCTCTCGACCTCTCAGCTCGAGTGGAGGAGCGGCGGGTTCCGACCCGACTTCCTCCATCAGGTTTTCTTTCTGCGGTAATGATGTAATTAAAGCATCACCTCGTCTGTGAGGAGCCACGGCCTCCTAACTGGGTTAACCTGCAACATGAGAGGAAGAGGAGGAGGGGAAACGCCTCGTCTCCTGGAGGAGCAGCCATGAAGACAGGAGCAACTTATTCCATCACAGAGAGCTTCAGCTTCCAGCCTCGCCCTAAAAACCAGCTGCACCTTTTTCATTTGTTGCCATGGAAACCCAGGTCCCAGGTGGCCGAGGGATGTTTTCATCACCGTCTGTAAATCGTTAAGACGGCGGTCTCTCACTCATCACAACAGGTTGGTGAGGATAWAAAAAACTACTACAGTGAGAGACGAAACACTGGAAGGTTATTAACAAATATCTTACCTGTTGCAGATAGCTCTCAGGTTTAAACCTGACCGCTCAGCTGTGAGCCGAGACCAAACAAAACGATTCATCTTAAAACTTTAAAAYCAACACAAAATGATCACATCTCGTTTTTCTTAATTTGTCAAGAATCCCAGAAAAGGTCATGGTACTGTTTTAGTTTAAATTTTTGAATTTACTGTAAATTTAAAATTAAGTGTTTTTACAATATTTTTATTGAATTTTTTACAATTTTACATAGACCCCATATAACACAATGAACAACAACAACAAGCGCCCTCTTTGGATACAAATCTRCAAACATCTTAAACGTACAACAGTTTAATGAAGAGACTCTGTTGCTTGTTGTCAACATAATCCGGTCGTTCCTGTCCTCAGATGACCTCTTCCTCCTGAGTCAAGTCCACACCAGTGATCCCAACCAGGGGTACCCTTGATGTTCGCGAGCGTTTTACAGGGGGTAAGTGGAAAAATGTCCCAGGTGTGTAAATAAAAAAATAGGACTGATGATTTCAGCAAAGTGGAAATATATGATGAATATGATATAAACTGAAAAAAGTTGATTTTACATCATATYGTCCCTTTAATTATTTATTCACTTTCAAGGAAACGTTTTTGTCTTTGTTTAATTTGAGTTGAAAAGAATAAAATGCCTGAGAATTAAGGTTGAATAAATAATTTTCATTTAATAATCAGCTGTTGTACATTATAAGGAAAAAAAATGTATAGGTCCTCTGGACGGGTTAAACCCGTCCAGAGGACCTATACAATTTTTTTCCTTTTGATTTTTTACCTGGATTACTGAGATGCATCAGGACGTTGTACATTATAGTTTTGGAGAGTGATTAATAGGTTTGAGGGGGTACTGGTGATATGATAAAATGGCTCAGAGGTACACAAGTCCAAAAAGCTTGGAACCACTGGTCCACACCATCCACACGTGTCCAAAGGGTCTCCTTATGTTTTCAAATAACTGACTTTTCCCTTTCAGGAGATGTGTTGTGTGTTCAGGGGTAAAGTCTGTGTGGTCCAGTCACCTGGTCCTGTTGTGTGTCATCAGTCTTTTAGCTTCAGTAGACACATATCAATCAGTAAYTGTTCACGTTTGGTAAACAAAGTATTTTTGGGAAACATAGTATTAAAAAAACCTGGATCCAGAGGGATGTCCTTTGAGACAAGATGTTCTATAGTTTGGTTGTTTCAGTGTTGAAACAGTTCACGGTCCTGTTGTGAATTACACCTTCGCATGAAACAGGTCTTTAGGCAGAAAAACAACACAAACCCTGCAGGAAGTGAGTCGTTAACTCATGAACCCCATCAGAATTAAAGCTCCATCTGCGACAGGTAAGATACTGATCTGTGAACGCTGCAGACTTTAAATTACAAGGAAATATTTAACATTTTGTTTTGAGTCAGGCTGAATTCAGAGTGAACCGTGAAGCTGCATTATAAAAATCACAGTTTATTTCTGTTTTCACGGCCGCCGCCCCCACTTTTATGATTTTTATCTATGAAAACCGGACATTCTGGCCTGTTTCCTCAGAGTCCTGTCTCAAAACGAGTCAACATCACAGCTGCAGAATTTATGGAAACTAAATTACCTTCAGTTACATGAGACTCCCTCCTGTTCACAACTTTCCCACAAAATCACACTTAACACATCTAAAATAAATTCTGAACGTTCCTTCTTTTCCTTGGAAATAAAATAACCACTCGTCAGATTCACATCAGATTGTTTTAAAGCACAATGCAGCTTTATTTATAAAGCTTAAAAAAGATTGATCCAAGTGTTAAAACAAAGCAGCACGGAGCAAAAGATGAAAACAGAAAAAGTAAAAATAAAAATAACTAAAAGTCAACATGTCACACTGTGCTGAAGGCAGGGAGGAAAAATCTGATTTATATGAGGTTTAAAAACAGGAAGTGAGGGAAGCAAACCCACAGGCAGTTGGTTCCTCCAGGTTCTCCAACATTAAATGACTAACAGAATTATAAATATTAGAAAAAGTTCAAATGAAATTAAAATAAAACAGAAGATATAGAATGATAGA